CATATATGTGTGTGTGTATATATATATATATATGTATGTATGTATGTATGTATGTATGTATGTATATATGTGTCATAATCTATAAACCTACATGTGGTCTACCAGCTTGAGACAACTTTATTGTGGAAATGGGAAAATCTTGTCTGTTTCCCTTTTTACAACTTCTTAATGTTTTAAACCACAAATAAATATGGCCATACATTAGGCCGTACATCAGGTCCACATCTTTTTGTGATTTTCTTCTGAAAACCTCTGTGAGATTCAGTTATTAAGTGTTTCTCCTAGCATAATACAGCAATTTCTCCTAACACATACTTTCTTGCAATTTCTTTAACGCCCTCTCTCTCCTTCTCTTTCTTCACCATTCAGCTTGCAATATTGATTATAAAACTGCATCACAGAGCTCTGGAAAGGATGAACCATGGTTAGACAGTTCTTAAATATTGCTGCAAAGTAAACTATGAAATTTAGGCCCGTGGACACTTCATCTAACTCAGTGTGCAATCCGTCTATGTTTAATAACACCCCCACATCCTCCCCTCACAAACCTGATTTACTCCTGATTCATAAAAGCAAAAAGATTCTTTTTTTTTTCCATTAAGTTTATAAGAATGCCTTCACAGTTCCTAGAGAAACCTTCTTTAAGTTAATTCAGCAATTTATTTCTGTATTTGAAAGGAGCAAAATGCAAAAACACAACCTAAGAGAACACAATGAAACAAAAGTAATGGAATTCATCCTTCTTGGCTTTCCTGGACCCCAGTATTTACAGATGTTAATATTCATATTCTTTGTTATCATGTATATCCTGACAGTTTTTGGAAATATGGCCATCATCATCCTAGTTGCTACAAATCGATGCCTTCATACTCCCATGTACTTCTTCCTTTGCAACCTCTCTTTCCTTGAGATATGGTACACAACCTCAATAATCCCCAAGTCTCTTGCTGTCATTCTTGGCAGGAGCAAAACTATCTCCTTCACAGGCTGCATTCTGCAGATGTATTTTGTCTTTAGCTTTGGGTGCACAGAATACTTGCTGCTATCTGCCATGGCTTATGATCGATATTTAGCCATATGCTATCCACTGCATTACAACACCATCATGGATATCCACTTCTCTTGTAAACTGGCAGCAGCGTCTTGGATGTCTGGTTCTTCATCCATTTCTGTACTGGTTTTGTTGATCTCAAGGCTGTCCTTCTGTGGACCAAATGTAATTAACCACTTCTACTGCAACACTGATTCCTGGATAGTTCTCTCATGCACTGATACCCAGGTCGTTGAACTTGTAACTTTTGTGTTATCTATCATTGTCATATTGTGTACATTTGTCATAATCCTTGTCTCCTACATATGCATCATCCTGGCTGTCCTTCATATCCCATCTGCCAAGGGACGGCAAAAGGCTTTTTCTACATGTTCTTCACATCTTGCTGTAATTATACTTTGGTATGGCTCCACAATTTTTTTATATGTAAAGCCATCTAAACGAACATCTTTGGAAATGACAAAACTTGTGAATATTCTGAATACAATTGTGACACCCTTGTTAAATCCCTTCATTTATACACTAAGAAACAAAGATGTTAGGGAGGCCTTGAAAAGCTTATGGCATTGGAAATAAAATACACTTTATGTGACCTGAATATCTTGCTATTAAAATCTGTATAGATGACATAATCTGGATACTAATAATCTCTCCCCCCACCTCTCTGAATGAATATGTCTGAGAGATTTTATACCTCCAGAAAGAGCAGTATCATGAAAATGTTTTATAGCATTAATAATTTCCAACTATTATTATCAAAACAAGCTGTGAAAAAAGGGAAGGAAATAACATTTATAGTGAAGAAGTTTAAGAAAAAAAGAAGCCTAGCACTTCCCTAAATCTTAATACCTGGGCTGGGCTGGGGAGTATGTGTAGGAAGCATTTGCTGGAGAAGCTGGAGCGCTAGGGATAGCATGGTGGCTGCAGGTCCAAAAAGGAACAGCAACGGCAGCTGTGGCTTCCGCTTCGGCCTTGACAGCTGGACACAAAAGGTGAAAGGTCGATGTGGGGAACTGGGGGAGAAGGCAGCTGGGCAAGTGAATGCTAGCTGGCACTTGCTAGCACTTGCTGGGGCTTTTTTTTTTTTTCCCCCCCCCCACAGCATGAATGGCAAGCCCCAGCCCAGTCCAGCAGCCAGGCCAGGCAGGCTTCATCAGCAGTGGGAGCAAGAAAATGGTGAAGGTCAGCTGTGGGGGGCAGAGCACAGGGCATCAGGGGTCTCAGAGTGCAGGGTGCAGAGTGCAGGGTGACTGTGGCTGGGACTGACCTGGGGTGGTTGCAGCTTCCTGTGATGTGGCAAGCAGCCTCAGAGCTGTGTGGTTCTGGGGCTGCGTGTCGTCCCACAAGATAGGGTGCAGGGTGGCCAAAAGGGTAGAGATGGGGGGGGGGAATAGGCAGGTGAGGGAGTTGAAGCACCCCTGAGGTTGTAAGTGTGGGCAGTTTTGATCACATGTCTGGGGGGCGGTGCAACAGCTGTATCTTCAGGGACCAGTCGAAAGTCCATTTTTTCAGCACCATCATAACTTTGAAAAGTTGCTGAACAAATGGTCATATGTTGAAGACTACCTGTAAAAAAAAGGAAAAGGAAAGAGAGAGAGAC